ATAGACTCTATAGAATCTATAATCCTATATATAACCTATACATATCTGCTCTAATTACTGAAGTTATTGTCACGACATTAACTCTGCTTATAGACTACAGGGTGTAATAAAAGTTAGAAATCATAGGGAAATAGCATGGGGATCCTTTCCAGACAAGGTTGTCTGAAAGGAACAAGCTAATCTGAGCTGATTCAGAAACTCTTTTGTTGTCTTAATCTGGAAGTCTGATCCAAGTGGCCCAGAATGATACTGAGTGACCCATGGCGACCCAAAGTGGCCCAATTGACCAAATTTGGGTGTAATTATCAGGTGGGTGATAGCTATACAAAAATTTAAGCAGACCAAATTTGACCTAGATTGGTAGAGTGACCCATGGCGACCCAATGCAACCCATTTCGACTCATGGCGACCCATTTCGACCCATGGTGACCCATTTCGACCTATGGTGGTTCACCCTGAATCTCTCATCTTCATAGTTGCAGGAGTTGACTAAAATATATCCTTGAGGTCTGTATTGAGGAATTTATGAACTCTAGAATATATTTATACATCTCTACTGACATTAGAATCCGAATATTCGCTTATAGAAAAAAACCCTGCGATATTAGACAACTGTTTATGTATCAACGTCATATCCTCTGTAGTATACAACGTATGTCCGAGATTCCATAACTTTTAACCCATCAATATTTTATCTTACTGCAGCTATTATCACGAAACTTTTTTCTGCATAAGACGATGTCACGGTGTGGCGGACTTCCTCCATCACTTCCTCCATCTAGTGTCTCGCTTGGTGATACATGGAGAAGAACCGTGTGGTGTGGAAGTGTACTTAGCGGCGGTGAGTTTGATTCAATGTTTACTGACGTGTTACAGTGACTATAGGTGCGACGCTGACGGGTTGAACCTCACACATAATTTCATTTCCTAGCCCTAGGCTTTACAGGCCCTACCTTTATCCTATCCGCTACAACCGCAAGCATTGCTTGCTCATAAACCTAAGCCAATAGCAATAAGGACCTAAAAGTTTTAAGCTTAAGATTGAAAAGAAAGCTAATCCTCATATACTCTTCCTCCTTGAATAGACCGTCTTCACCAATGACAGTGACAATGTGTGATACACTTGAGATTTGTTACTTCATTAGACCAAGCCCTAAAGTTGGGCTTGGGAACTCTAGAGATGGGGTTATTAGGCCTTTTTCAGAGAATATTGAGTTTCCTGTATCAGCTATGACAGGATTACCAAGTTTAAAGAGAGCCAGAGTCACTGTTGTCTGACCCCAATTCTACTTTCTCAGGAATAGAAATGGTGAGTGATCTCGAATTGGTTTGGGTATATGTTCCTCCACCTAAATGAGGAAGTCCCTGAATGTGACTTCATAATCTGAGAAGATGCCCTTGCATATGCATTTCACAAGCAGATGAAGAAAAAGACTCAATATATGGTCTCTGCTCCTTCAAAGCTCCTCTTGAATCCTTCTGAGGATAGCCTAGAAGCTCTCCATGGAAATGAAGCAAGGATTCAGAGAGATATGGCTTTTCAGTATCTAACCAGAAAAAGACTCAATATATGGTCTCTGTTCCTTCAAAGCTCCTCTTGAATCCTTCTGAGGACAGCCTAGAAGCTCTCCATGGAAATGAAGCAAGGATTCAGAGAGATATGGCTTTTCAGTATCTAACCAGAAACCTGCAACAACTGTCCTCTTCTTTTAGACAGAGAAATATAGTTTATTCACCCTGAGCTGAATTGGCCAAGGCCCAGCATTAGAAGATTTAGAAATAGGAACACCAATACATACCAATTTAGAGAGAATTGCATCTATCCATTTGTTGATGCACCATAGATGGATTTATGTACCCTGAACTGAACTCTTATGAACTCTTCAGAATGAGAGCAAAATGGACAAATTCCTCAAGCTACAATGCTTTCATTAAGTGACCTTCAAGGAGTCAATACTGATTTTAAATATGAGAAATTAGGAGGAACTTATATTACAGCTTCAACCTAACTCAACTTAAGTAAGATTCCTGGGAAGCTTGTTGACATTGGGAGTGGTGTGATGTTATGGTGTGAGACGCGGTGTGAGACGCAGTGGTGGTGAGACGCGACAGGAGCCGCGTCAAAATTTATTCCCGAGTCTCCACGCGCGGAGTGAGTCATCGAATGGCCCCGTCCGTCCGCCGCGTTCAACGTCGTCGCACGTGCGTTCGGAGTCGGCCAGACTCTAAACGGAGCGTGCAATCCCGTCATTCCCCACGAGTGGTTCGCATGTTTCCATCCTTATTTTCGTTTCATCGACGCATCACCAGGTGCGTCCGATAACCAGGCGACGCAGAAGGCCACATACGAGCGAATTCAACTGTTTACGCAAACCGACGTGACAATTTTGCGTAGAGAGATACGGCTGGAAAATCACAAATTTCGACTGCGAAGGTCGAACATCAGAGTTCATAAAATGATCTTGCCCTTTATAAATGTGAACCTTCTGGCCTTCACCACCTTCCTGAGACGGTTGGTATCGATTCCACCGGAGTCAAGTTTTCGAGCAGAACCTGTATGTCATTAGAGTCGGACTTTTTTAATTCGCGAATGGTACACATCCTGATGGCAATCTGCGGAAGATACAATTTTGCGCAATCGTTTGCAAATTTGTATGCAATAAATAATAAAAACGTGTAAATTCAGAGTAAGCAAGTTTTTGAAAACAGAACGATAGAAATTTAGGCCTTCAGCCTACATGAGTGAGTGGCAGTAGCAGTCAAATGAGAAAAAATATATATCAATCCGTTTAGTGCCGATCTCAAATTTGGTATCCTTAGAAAGGGCGTAACGTGCGCTTTTGAATAAATTATTGGAACGAAGGATTCCAGAGGTGGCAAGTGTCGCTTTTTAAGACTGAACATGATGAAACCGTTCGGTTACCGGGAATTTCTTGTTTTATCTTTGAAGGATATTTTCTATATTTAATTTAAAGATGGCGATTTAGCAATTAAAATTACACCAGAATGAAGCCTCTATCTTAATTAGAAGTGAATTTACTGCAGAAACGGTTTCACTATTCCTGTAAGTATGGGCATAGGGAGCCAAAAATTGCCGCCAGTAAAATGCATATATTAGGAGATTGGTTGGAGATATAAATAATTGGCTGAAATTGGTTTCTTTAAATCAATTCCTCTACATGTACGTCTATTTTCGTCCAATTCGGTGCTGGTCGAGCTTTCGCTCTGTTCGAATTGGCGTGAAATGACCCTCTATAGTATAGAGGGTCATTTCATAGTCATACTGTATAGAGTCTATACAGTACAGGCATTTACCTACCTGTGGCGGTACTGATTTCGGTACATGCCAGAGGATGCACCACCTCTTACGGTTCAGTGAAGAGTCCGCGATGTCAGTTCTACATTTCCTAATTTCCCGTAAAGTCGAGAAAGTGACAGGAATTGAGAAATACATCATATCTTTCGGCGCAAAACTGAGGATCCCAGAGAGAGGGAATTCCTGTTTTCCCCTCTCGCTCACCTGGCATCCCGGCGTGGCAGCTACCCGAAGCAGGACCGCGCCCCCGCGGATGGGGGCGGCGTCGTGGGACCCGGCTCGTGCGCTTGGCAGTGCGTCCGGGATCGAAAAAAGGGTATAAGTGATGCGCATCGGCTGGCCTGCCGAGTCAGAGCTGGTGTTTCTTCGGCGCCGTCGAGTCATGGAGGTCCCTGCCGTCTTGCTCGTCCTCGCACTCTTCGTCCATGTTCAGGTCCAGTCTCCATCCTCTTTCCGTCCGAATTAGGAAGGAATCCAAATGATCTGGAATTTCGATGGAGAAAACCGCTAAATTGCGATGTCGTGTTTCTAGGGGAACGAGGAAATAACGTTGGAGAGTTTGCGATCGTGGAAGGGTTCTGCCGTGTTGCCAGGTACGACTCGAATGTGGATTCGCCCTCGCGTTCTTCGATACATACATGGCACGATAACAGCATCTGTTCCTGATGGTTCAGAAAATCATATTGTGGTGATCAGATCTGAGCAAAACGAGTATCGAAGGAAAGTATAAATCCTCTGAAAGATCCCATGTCCATCACTTTCCGCTAAAAAAGGAAGCTAGCACCGATTATGGTTTGTAGCTCGCTTTGTCCCCCGTGAGAAAAAAAAAAAACAATCCAAAAGTTTATTTCCGAATGCAGGCTCTAATGTATTGGGATGGGTAAGCCCGGGGCATTCTCGGTTTCGAAAGTGGGACGTTTCACTCTTTTCACTCCTCCATCGAATTAGCGATGATTGAATTGAGTTCCATGATGGAGTGCAGGGTACCACCACCGGATTAGTCAAGGCCAAAGCCTACGGTGCCTATTCAACCTTCAAAGGTAAGGAATGACTCTAACCCTATGGAAATAACAGGGAAAGGAAGAGAGAGAGTGTGTTTAGGGTGTTAGCAGGGCGAATGCACTTGCATGGGCTTTGAGCCTCTGGCGTCTGGCAGTATATGATACGCATATGGCATCACATCACACGGTCCCATTTATTTCCAAAAAAAGGTGGCGCATTTTCTGTACTGCCACGAGTTCCGCTCTAGAGAGCTCATGTGTGCGGGAAGGAATATAGAGGTCACGTGCTGTCGCACTAATCTTATTTGCTTGAAATGATCCACTCGGCAAATAATCAGGGTGGGTGTAGAAATGTAGAGTTTCGAGCGAAGAAAGAATGCGATGGTTGAAAAATGAGTGTGCATACATTCGGAGGCGCCTTTTCACCTGTACGCGTTCATTCCCTCCCGAAGAGGCTCGCATGACACTCTTAACCATCCGTTAGTCCTTACACTTCTCGGAACGCCGTTGGTCTCGCATCGACTTCTCGAAAGGAAGAAAATTAAAAATACCCTTATTTTGAGTATTCTTAAGTGTCACGGTGTCAACATGTAAAACAAAGATGATGTGAAACCTCTCGAGCGTTTAAGGAAGGTACTGTAAACAACAAACTCCACGGCGCCGCATTCAATCTCGCGTGGGGCTCACTCCAAGACTAACTGAGGGTCAGGGGCGTGCAGGCTCTCCTTACTGTAGATGCATGTGAGCACCATCGGGGTATGCATTAGTCCTTTCAACTGATAGTCCCGAATCATGCTCACCCCGTGGTGCTCACCCACCTCTTTCATGCTCACCCCTGCCGGAGGGATGAACCCCTCTGGCTAAGGCTAATCCTCGCCCCCGGGGGGGGGGGGGGGGGGGGGGGAGCTACAATGCTTTCATTAAGTGACCTTCAAGGAGTCAATACTGATTTTAAATATGAGAAATTAGGAGGAACTTATATTACAGCTTCAACCTAACTCAACTTAAGTAAGATTCCTGGGAAGCTTGTTGACATTGGGAGTGGTGTGATGTTATCAAAGAGAACTTTGAACAGTGTCATAATAATGGCAAATGGGTCTGGTGTTAGGTTGCCCCATTGTCTCCCAGTGAAAATCTCCATGGAAGACTTGAAGTGAAGCCTTTGACATGCAAGGCTTGTCATGCCCAGTTGGGAAATGAAGCTCATCTGCCTCAGGATCAATCTCATCTTCAATCTATTCTGAGTAAGTCTGAATTTCATTTATATACCTAGTATATAACATGTGCACTGTCTGCCATTGAAATTAGTAGGAACCCTAACCCCCTTTCCATTTAATCATTCTGCACTCTTGAAACTAATCAATTTCATAGTGTGCTACAAGTTTATGTACCAAATTTAAACCGTGTTTCTCAACCTCTTGGTGCTGCAATTTAAAAGGCAGTTTATATATAAATATTTATGAAGATATCCCAAGTGCTATGCTATTGGTAGGTTATTGCTATTGATTGGTAGGTAGGCTTTAAATTAATAATCTGTCCTGGAAAATTCTATAAGTTCTTATGTTTTACAGGCTTTTGGCTCCTTGTAGAGGATAATTCTTTCAGTGTCTTTGAGATTAGCTGCTTAAGCTCAGAGCCATGTGCAGCACCATTGTAGGCACCTAGCCTGTTTCCTTCAATCACAGTCTTACATTTATAATTTCATCACAAGTCTTCAACAGGAGAAATTATGACTAAGTGATAATGCATGGAATCCAAGGAGGCCAAGATGTGCTACACGTAATGGGAAGAGGTCTAACGGTTTTTGTAACATCATTTCAAAGTTTATATGGGCAGTTAATTTGAAATTTTAACTATTTGATGTATGTAATATTTTCATTGATTAGAAGTTGATTTGTACATATTTTCATTTTAACAGGTTCGCAATGGAGAAGACAAAATACACAAAGAATGTCTTGATGTCATCTGGCAGACAATCAAGGAACTTGCAAGGAAGTAAAAGCCGTCTCTTAATGTATTCATATCTTATTCTATAATTATGTTCTTCTCTGTGCTCATTTCTCCTGGAAATACAGGACATTCCTCTTCAAGTTTCTACTGTGTATTGTGCTTTGTTTTGTGCTGGTACATGTTTCAACTTGATTCAGAAGTTGGGAGTACATGTTCGTATTTTACAGATATCATATAAAATTCTAACAATTTCAAATGGTAATTTTTATATTGAATAACCAATTATAAATGTATCCAATCCACTAGAGTTATGCATTTTAATTGTAAAGAGATCATGTCATCTTAAGTTTTCCTTAATTGGAGATGTACCCTATCAATATCATTAAGTGAATTTTTAATACCCAGATTGTTGTTCTTGTAGATGGTTTGCATAATCTCAAAGCAAGTAAAATGATTATATCTAGGGAAATCATGGATTTGGTAGTCCCACAGGACTTCAGTAGAGTGGAAATAGATCTGTGAAGTATTGCCCTTAGGAAATCCTAAGACTACCAAAAGTCTCTGTGTGATCTCTTTCAGCTCTCTATATTGAGATTCTAATGAATCTCTATAGAATTATTCTATGGAAATTTTATAGAAATATGGTAGATTTTTCTACAAAGTCTCTATAGAATCTCTATAGGCACTCTGTATAGAGATTCTATAGAACTATCTATAGACATTCTATGGAATTTCTATAGAAAGTTCTATAGAATCTCTATAGAAGTATGGTAGAATTTTCTATGAAGTCTCTATAGAATCTCTTTAGGCACTTTGTATAGAAATTCTATAGAATTTTTTCTATAGAAACTCTATAGAACATTTTCCCCTGGGTACTCTGGATGCATTATCTTGTTTTGCTATTACCTCGCATTGGAAAGAAAGTATTTCCAGTTGTGCTAATCGAAGAATTAATTAGAGCATATTAATTTGAGAACTCTGATTTTAAAATGGATAGGCACTGCCTACCCTGACGAGCCGCCACTGGTAGTGACATCAGGAGGCGATTACACCCATTTCGATATCACGTGTCAAGGTCGAGCGTTCCTTAATTTTCGGGTAGGCCTAATCCTCTTAAAGCTCATTTTTGTTTAAAGCGTATCCTAGTAGCTTACTGCCTAGTCCCTAGCTTCAATATTGCCCCCCCCCCCCACCTTTTTGCCTGTCCATAAATGAATCGTTTCTTCTTAAAAATATTCACAGAAGGGGCAGCCACTACTTCGTCATCTAACGCATTCCAAACTTCTAAACGCTTCACGTACGGAAGTCACCTAACCTCCTTAATCATTCTTGTAGCCCTCCTCTGTACCCCCTCGAGCGCCAACGAATCACCCTTATTTATAGGTCTCCAGATATGAATGCAATATTCCAACTGGGGTCATACCAGCGCCGCATACAACGGAAGAATAACGCGCGAAGTCCTACTTGAAACCGAACGACGAATGACACCTAGAATCCTGTTGTATTTGATTCCTTGAAATTATTCTTTCCCTAAACTTTTGGCGCAATAAATCCATGTTTGAAATGAAGCTCCAAAATTTTAATTCTTTCCGGCAAATCCCAGGTATCCATGTTAATTAAAATTCCAGTTAATAGTCTTCAACCTGAAACAAATATAAAAGAATTGGAGTTAATATGAGAAAAGTTATCTGCAATTTAAATTTTAGCATGATTCGTGGCCCACCCTGTATTTCTTTGATTTATTTTCATTCCACCATCCTTCCCGCATGAAATCCTCGCGCTTGAAGGCACTCGGAGGTGAGAAAGACGTCCGCGTAGAAGGGTCTTACCCGTCTTACCTCGTTTTCATCCCTTTCCCTCGCTCGTCTCCCTTGATCATGTTGTGAAATGTCGTGAATATTCATTACCGAGTCATTGATAGGGTTGCCACATTTGAATTCAACAAAACGTGGTCGTATGGAAATAGGCGCAAATGCTTGAAGAATGCTTTAGTATGAGGCTCTACCGCAAATACCCAGAGCCACCTTAAGCCAAGGCGCCAATCGATACTTATCGTGGCCTACTGCTTTTGACTTGAGGAAAAAACGCCGTTTTACCTGCTATTAAGCTTTATTAATAAATATTTTTTAAAAATCCCAACAAGTTTATAATATGGACAAAACAATGTCCATATTAAGACCAGTTTGCAGTATCTACGGAGTGTATGAAAAATGTACTATCAATACTAATTATGAATAGTAGCAACCCCGATCATTGATGGTACTCACGCAAAGTTTAAGCACCTTTTGCCAAGATTAACCTCAACGACCTTGTCGACGAGTCGCAGTCTAACTACCCTTCCACCAGAGTCACTTGATGCTCTTGGAACTCCGCGATTCATTCACGAGTGGTCAAGCCCTTGCATCCTAACGTGTACGTCGTTTTTTGAGAGTTCCTCACAGCTCCAGTGAGTTGCATCTGCAGAAAGAAGCTTCTCCGAACTGCAACAATTTATAACCCTTATCCAAGATCAGCATGTCATAAGAATGCCTGACGGGAGTAGCCATATTCTCTTCTATTCTATTCTATTGAGAGGGAGGTCAGCAAGTCATTGAATTACAAGAAAGTGATCGATGATCTGGTGGCAAAGGTTTCGAGAATACGAACGCTAAATCTTTGGACAACTTACACAAATTCCTCTCCTTTCCTTGCTTAATGAAAATGTAGTGATTTTCATTTTTTTTCCCCCTAATATAACTTCGATAATCGAAAAAGAAGTGAGGGGCAAATCGGAACCCAGAGGAGGCCCAATGTATTTGCCGCAGGGAGGCCCGCATTTTCCCGCGCCGGGCCCTGAACAACCTGATGCATGTATTAAATTATGAGTGTATGCTGTCACATCATAAAAGGCCAAAATTGCATAAATGAATCAAGGCATCACTCAATGCATATCTTACTCCCTTTATTGACAACATTCTTTGACCAGCATCAAAGCACATCATGTATCCAGCAGGATTCACAAATGAGTCTCATGTTATGACAAGATCAATGAAAAATAACTTAGATCACAGCATGGGCAAGGCCTCCCCACGAAATATGCATTATATTGGGGAGAACGCTTGGGCCATAATCACAGCAAAATTTTGTTTTACCTGCTTTCACACAAAAAATTTTAAATGCTTCTCCTAAAAGATGTTGCTTTCCATGAAAGTTCTGAGACTCCGTAAGTACACAGAACAGCTCAAACCTAACAACAGAGGAGAATATCAAACGTCTCCAGAAACATGGGGCCATTCCATCCAAGCTTAGATATTCAATTTCAGATTCAGTTTAGTTCAAGGTTACCCATTACAGTACATGGAAAATGGCAACATATACCATTCAGACATATGGCATGAAGCTTAACCAAACAAGCACTTTGAGAGGAAGTGGGAAATTTGAAATGAATTCCTCTAACTGTGATGAATACAGTGACAATTGCACAACAGAGCTTGGAGCAGCCTTACCTACTTCAAGGTTTTCCAATACTTCCATTGAAAGTGTTCCAATAATAATGGTCACATCAGATATCAGCTGATATCCCATGCATCAAAGGATATTAGAATAGCAATTTGGCTCGCTGAAATGAAGGTATTAAAACCGGTAGTTTGGTTCTGGCCAACTCAGGTCTAAATGCATCTGCTACTCCCCACTTCAGGGAAGTTGGAGATGGTAGGGAAATTCTAGCCCCCTTCTACTCCTCTTAGCCCATCCCTTTGGCAAAATCCTGGCTATGCCACTGATAAAAAAAAATAAAACTGTGATGCATGAATCTTCGAAGTTATAGAGATATTTAAGTCTATAAGGCATGCCAGAGAATATAAGTACTTGAACTGACTTGAGGATTTTTTTTCCTTCTGTAATTTGGAAACACTTCAGCAGATCTTTCTAAACTAATTTAGATAAAAGACCCAATTACAGTAAAGGCAAAGGATATTTTGAGACCCAGACATATCAACTTGTGAGACTTATAATTTCTAAGCTGTTCATGATGGATTGTGGGGGATGTTATTCACACATGAACAGCATTTCCAAGCAAGAAAAGGCTGGTAGAACTTCATATAATAAATCATCAGGAAAAATATTCCCACTATTGCTCTGGATTCCCAAACCACTGTGGCATTTCACATTGGCAAAAACTGGAAGAATTCAATATTGAAGATGGACAACTGCAGGGCATTCAAAACCTGAAGATTTTTCTTCAATGCTTTTTTTTTATACCGTTAAATATAAAAAAAAAATTCATTCATTTTGTTCAACAGTCCAAAGAAGGAAAAGTGAGAAGCAGAATGCAGAAGACATAAGCACTTTGACCAAGTGGGAAGTGGGTTTGTTTTGAGCCCTCACATTTAGCTAACTTGCAGAATGCAGAACAACTTTCCCCCCCCCCCAAAAAAAAAAAACCTACAGACCAGAGAATTTTTGTATTCATGAGAAGCAGGGAGATCTCCCTTAACTCCATTAACACAGGAGATTCTTGTTTCTTTTACAAAACTCTTATGCTTTTACCACTTTGCAATTCTCATTGGAATAACTCCTTTTCTGTTGACATGACCCAAATATGAGATATACCTCATGCCATGCAACCATCAGGGGTAACCTTGAACAAACATGCCAGTCTGTGAAAATATCCATGATCAACAAGTCAGGTTTTTGGCAAACTACACAAGTCCAGGGCTAAAACAACAATCTTAACACTATAGTGCATTTTCTTACAAACTCTAAGTTCATGTCTAAGCCCAATTTTGAAACGTCTTGGGAGGTTCAACTGCACTGGCTGTTTAATTATCTTATCAGAGGACATTATAGAATTGTTGGGCAAGCCTTGAAGAAATAGTTTTGCCAGCTTCCTTCAATTATTAGAATAAATTCCTTACATTTAACTTTGGGTGCAATCACTGATTTTCTCATAGCTCACAGTATGTGAACAGGGTGCATATACTGCCCCTTGATGAAGAACTCAACCTGAGTCCATCTCAATACACTGTGGTGTCAGCCATGATACAGGCACATAGAGAGCCCTTTTAAATGTTTTTCCACATGGATGAATATTAATTGTGACCTTACAAGTGGGATTGAAAAATGCCCCTTACACAGTCACATAGTAAAAATGCTGACCTGGTTCACCTAAAATAAAAATTTGGATTTGTGAGTCAAAATGTGACCACTATTGTCACAATGTTTACATCAGGAAGGGGTAAAATAAAACTATGAAAAATGGTGCAAGAGAAAAAAGAAAAATCCACAGCAGGCAGGAAAGTGATATGGAAGAACAACTGGCGCAAGCATCATTAATTCATATGTCTGTATTACGGTGCTTTTTGTTCAATTCTTTCTGGTATGAAATTGGGGATTGGATTGCTTTGAGAAACTGATACTGGGTGTCAAGCAGGCGCTTCATGGTTGAGACCCACTCTTCACATGTTTCCCGAGATGGAGCTTCACAGATGAACTGAACCTTTGACTTCCTAGGATCAGTTGACTTCACTGTAAAAATGCAATTGTCTTTTTGAGATGAATCCAAAGCCATATGATTGACTTGGATATGGTGATGATATCGATACAGTGGGTCCAAGAACTGAGTCTTCTTTCCCATAGCTTCACTGAATATTATACTTTGTTCAAACAAAAAAACTTGGAGTTCCTGAGATTCTTGGCTGCTATCACTGGACTCCTCATGGCAGAGCAGTGGTCCATGTAGGAGAAGCTTTCCTTGTGCAGTGATCTTACCATCAAAGCCTTGCAATCGACCAACATTCATCATATCGTTTGCAGCTTTGGGAACAATCTTCATGACCTCCACTGCTTTGGATAACAACTCAAGTTCATTGAAGAGTTCTGCTTTCTCTGTGTAGTGGTAGATATCATGTAAAAGCAGTTGATACTTCATAATTCGTTGAACAGGCTTGATGAGAAGATCTGAAATCATGAGCCTGTGACCCAGGAGGTGACGTAGTTGCTCAAAGTATTCTATGTGTTCACTGACAATATAATCGGACTTGGGCTTGTTCTGACAATAGACAACATACATCTGGAATTTCCTTTCATATTTTTGAAAAAGTGATCCAAGATCTTCAGGCTTGTCAATGCACTGTTCAAGGGCTACAGAGAAGACATCCCGATGCCATTCATATATGGCTTCAAGATTGGCAAACACCATCTTACCTTTTCCTTCTTGAAGATCTTTGGGCATAATCACATCACATTCTGGATCCCGCATCAAAGCAATGTAACCATGAATGACAAGTTCAAGGTGCTTGATGTAGTTTCTTTCTGAATCAGCCAGCTCCTTCACAACATGAGACCGCTTCTCTACAAATTTAGATTTTATGTCACCATCATCCTTCATGCTCTCAGAAACACCAAGCCCATTTAGGTGCTCCAAGAAAGAAGGTGCTTGGACATCATCGTGGGTTGAATTGGGTGATGAGCTAGCCTCTTCTGTGAGATGTGACAGACATGGGCTTGGAGGCCTTGGCACAGGCTCCAAGCTGTTGGAAACATTGGCAGCAGGCAAAGGATTCGTGATGACCTTCATAGGAGGTGGCAATTCGACCACATCATCCATTTCAAGAGTCCCACTATCAACAGGCAATACCACTTTCATGTCCAATGCAAGTGCTTGCAAGGGAGGTGGTTCACTCTCTTTCTCCTTATCTTTCCTTCCTGATTCTACCACCTTGGAAATGGATGGGATCTTTCTGAATGACTTTGAGTGCATAGTTGCTTGACTGCTAAGTTTCTGGAGTGGTGATGGGAACCATTTCTTCCCACCTGATGGTTTCTTCTTCAAACCTGGAGATTCCAGGTTCTTCTCTCCTTCACCTCCACCTAATTCAAGAGAATCACTAAGGTTGGTCACACTTTCCATTGGGATCAACCCTTCAACTGGACTTGCATCGGGAAGGATAAGTCGCACAAAGCACAAAGAGTCTGATTGAGAGGAAGGCATCTCAAGAATTTCTATGTGCTGCCCTTTCCTCACCGTCAGTTCACGACTGTTGCGAGCTGTGTGATCTTTTATGATAAGGGGTGTGTCTGATTCACTACTTGATACCTGTGACCCCAAATCTCCTGCTGCCTCCATACTTGAGGCATCTTCAGCAGTGCGGGTCTTGGATTCTGGTGGCATTTCAACAGGAGAGGCCTTGTTGAAGTAAGTCTCCTGAATGACTTCACGTAACTTCTTCACCCACACTTGTTTTACATCCATGCTTAGAGCTTTGAGAACAATCTTGCAATCTGCAACAGGATTCCTGCCAGTCCAGACTGCAAATTTGCACTCGTCTCCCTCAAGATGCTCTGTGATGGATATTTCTGATGTAAGAAGCTTTTGTTTGTACATATACCGTGCTTTTCCAGCAGAGTCCTTGACTTCTTTTGAGAACACCAAGTAAAGGTCAAACAAAAAGACATGTCTTGGCCTTCCCTTTCGAATCAAATGCTTGGGATCCCAAATCTGGAAAGAGTCCTGAAGGATGACATCACCAAGCTTCTCATACAGAACATCACAGCCTTGGAGGAGTGACAGATGCATGGCATCATTAGCTTTTTTTGGGACATTTAGCATGACCTCCAATCCATCCTTGAGCTCACCTTGTCCTTCATCACTGCAGGACAAGAGGTCTTTCAAAAGCAACTGATACTTTGTAATCCTCTGAACTGGCTTGATCAGATATGCAGGAATAGGATGGTCCACTGTGTTCTTGCGCTGTAATTCGTCAAAAAACGTGCCAGCATGAGTGATGAGAAGGGAATTGGATTCTGGTTTGTTCTTGCAATACTTGACATACATATCAAATTTAGATGCCCATGTCACAAAGCAATGCCCAACATCTTCTGGCATAGTTTCGTACTTCTCTAGTTCTTGGAGGAATATGTTCTTATGAAATTCATAAATTTCTTCCATATTCCCAAAGAGAATGATTTCTTTCCCTTGAATACCAGAGGGGGCCATAGAGCTATTTTGCATTTCTCGAAGGTAACAACGGATGCACACTTCCAGATCCTTCACATAGGCACGCTCAGTCTGGAGCAATTCTGTCATAATGTATTCCTGCCTTCTCATAGAGCGTCTCTTCTCTTCACTCATTTCTTTAGCTGCTATTTCCTTCAGCTTTGCATCAAGAGACAATACAGATTTCTCAGGGGATAGATCGTGTCGGTGTTCAGAGGTGATCCCCAGAGCTCCTTCTAGCCTTGCTTTGTAACTGTCCATTCGTCCACTAAAATTCTTGTAGCTGGCATCCACAGCTGCTACCCACTGCTTGATGGACTCAGCATGGCCATGACCTTTCTCAACAAGGCTATCAGCTAACTGAATTATGAGTTTCACTTTCTCCCGTGTCTCACTGGCTGTGCCTTTGAATTCATCATGCTCCTCAAGGAGTTGTGCTGTCTCATCACTCGTTGCCCCCACACTGGTGTGGGTCCTCAAATATTCCTCTCCTGTTTCATTCAACCATTTCAAAGCTTGCTTAGCTGCCTGCTCAAATGCTATGTATTGTTGACATTGATCCAATCGCTTCTTCTTCATTGTCCAGCATTCAAGGACTTTGTTCTCTTGATTCAATAATTGTTCAAGAATACCTTTCACTTTTGTCTCAGGGGGACTGTGTCCACTTTCCTTCTGTCGGTGATGGTGACTCAGGCTGCGACTAGAGTATTTAAGAAATGTTTCTGCTGTTCTCCTAGCAAGTGTACATGCCTTCAAGAAAGCCTCTTTTTGTTCCTGATGCTTTGTGATCAACTGATTCAACTTGGAACCAGATGCCTTCTCAGCACTGCACCAATCCTCCTCTCGACTGTATTCCTTTTCTAGGGAATCCAAGACAGAGCAGACTTGCTCAGAGGTCTTATAAAAATTACATGCAGAAGTGACAAGTTTGTGCCTCTCCTCAGCACTGCTAGCTAGCTGCTCCCACCTCTGACTGACAAGAATGGCAAGTTTTTCAGAAGCATCCTTCTCATACTTGGAAGAGGAAAAGCTTTCTGCTTTCTGTTTCACCTGGACAGCTGATGCTTGAGTTTTCTCCACTGCTAGCTGAAACTGAACATGACTTTTACGCATTTGCTCAGCTTCTTCAAAATTCCCTGGGATACTAAAACTTGCATGCAACATGGTCTCTGCTTGCTTGATCCAGACAAGAACTTGATTGGCCTCACTTTCCAGCTGTTGCAAATGGATTCCTGACTCTATTCGGTTCCTCCGTACCTCAGCTAGTTCTTCCAGATCCAGTTCTCTGCTTCTGAGAAATTCTAAGAAAACCTGGATTTGGGTGACTGCATTGCTCAGGTTACCAGAGAGTAGCAAGGGATCTGTAGACTCAAAGACCTGGAGAAGCTGATCACCACGGTGAATCACTTGAAAGATGCGATTTCTCATTAGAGCAATAGACTCCACATGGATTTGCAGTAGTTTTTCTCTATCTTCCTTCAGGAGCTCATCATTTTGCAGTTCTCGAGTCCAGATATCTGCATGAGCAGTTGCATCCAAGACATCTCTCTCAAACATTCTCAACTGCAAACACAGTTCCAGTCTCAACTTTCGAGCAGACCATAGACTTTCTAACTCCTCTCTATATCCATGCAACTTATTGAGAAGCGTTTCAACACTGGCAAAGGATCCAGTTCCATCTGAGCATGGAGCAAGTCCACCATTAGTCAACTCCTGGAGGACAGCATGACCTTCAGCTGCAGTATTTTCAAATGCATCCAAACCAGATTCTCGGTGTTGCAAGACATGCGTCAGATGGTCCTCGGCAGCTTCAAGAGTATCTGGTAAATCATCCTTTTTTAATTCTTTCTTCACATCCTCTGCCCAAGATGACAGTTCCTTTTCATGAGTAAAAAACATCACAGCCAATTCTAAAAGTCGTCGCCGCCTCTGCACTCGAGCAGCAAAGTTTGAGATTCGAACCTCCAAATCTTGGGATATCCTATATACTTCATCACTCCCAATTTGATCTCCTGAATGAGCAAACTCCTGCGCAGCAGCCAGAAGCTTTTCTGCATTTGTGTATGTATTTTGTGCAATGTTCTCAAAATGATTATGACTCTTTTGATAAACAAGTGCCTTTTGAAGGTTGCAGCCAATCCCAGGGTTTTTATGCAAGAACACCTCCCCATGATTTGTGAGCCAGTCCATGACTTGCCTGACATCTTCCTGAAAGAGACGGAATGCAAGAACATGCTGGAGTTTGATCCGTTTTGCATGCCAGTGTCTTTCCAAAGTACGATGATGAGAAAGAACATCATGAATGATGGCAAGCACATGACTTGCTCCTTCTGAATAATCTGATGCTGGATCACTCATTCCCTTGTGATCTGCATCCTTTCGCTCTTTTGTATTATGGTTTAGCATGGTCAAAGTCATTCTTGGCTGACTGCAAACTTGCACCAAATGATCTAATTGATATAGAAGCTTCTTGCTGGTGCTATGAACCTCTGTGTAGCCCTGACACATTGCCTCATAGAGATTCTGATGCTCCTGTATCAACTCTTCTAGTGAGGGTATGTCATCTGGAATAGAACCAACTTCACATGCATTTGACCAGTCATTGTAATTGCGAAGATATTCCTCAGCCTTCTCATGAAATACTATGGATAAGGACAAGGCTGTGGTTCGTTCATCCAGACCAGCGGCAAATTCTTTCCATGCTCGATCAAGTTTCCCAGCAACCATCTGAATATGTTGAGATGCATAGTGACCAGTATCTATGAGACGTGTTGCAACAGTGAGAATGCGGTTGATGTTGACATACACATTCATGCAAGACAATGTAAACTGACTGTGCTCTTCCTGCAGCTGTTTTGCCCGACCAGAGTGCACTCGCCCAATGTCAGTGTAGTTGATGAGGAACTTCTCCCTATTATGCAGTATCCAGTCAATCATCTTCTCCACATCCTGTTCAAAGAGCTTCAACTGAAAGCATTGGTCCAATTGAGTCTTCTGTTGATGCCACTTCTGTTGCACTTCATGGTGGAGCTGATGAAGAGATTCCAAGAGGCTAAGAATTTGAGGAATGCTTGTCTGAAAGTCTGGATTTTTCAACAATGCACTATCAGCAGGTGCTCCATCTTCTGCATGACCAAGTTTTTGCAAAACCTTCTGGCCCATATGACTGATTTCATCAATGGGTGCAGTCATGATTTTCTTCTTCATTTCATTGTGCATCTCAATATTGTGCTTTGCACCTGAAACATCCTCAGCACATTCTGTCCGATTCAACTCATCTCTCATGTCTTCAAGACGGTCCTGCAGATCAACTGCTTGCCAATGGAACTCCTCCATTTCAAGGCGAGCCTCAATCCATTGACTATGGTCATATGGAAATGTGCCTTCAAACTCACTTGTCAGTTGAGCAGGATCAATGTACTTATAAAGGCCATCTAAACTTATCATTGTGGCCTCAAATTTATACTTCTGAGAGCCAAGGGATGTCTTCCTCTTTTCCCAAAAGTTTTCTGGCTTGATGATGAGTGCAATATGGACACTTGAGCTCAAACTATCCTGGAGAACCTTCATCACTGGCTTTACTGATCCCCATGTGAGTCCCCTGGTGTCAATAAGAACAGTGAAGCAGAGTTTTCTCACATCTTCACTTGGGATGCTAATGAGATACTGGAGGAGAGCTTTGAATTCTTCAGGTTTCAATCTCTCCCGCTTGGAATTTGCCAAAAATGTTAGTACAGGTCCTCCTCTCTTGTCTCTTCCTCCAGACAAGATAGTCACTTTCTCCTGTAGGAGGGACATCACTTCCAATGCTCGAAGCCCCTCCATGTTGCATGCACATCAAAACAGGATCCTTGTCATTGCAATCTACCTGCAAGTATATGATGGACACAAATGAGAGCAGCCTAATTCCAATTTTGGATTGAATTCACACTTTCCCAGCATAGCAGCAAATGGAGGTAGCAATAATTCTAGAGGATCTGTTTCATCAGATGATCCACAAGACAACCCATTTTGAAGATGTCAATACCTGCTACCAATGGAAACACTCCAATGGGATGGGGAGGGAAGGACATGCATTCAATCCAAAGCAATGTAAGCCTTGGTTTATGGCTGACTGCCCTTCATGTATGAAGTATATATAGTGGTTCAAAATAAACCCTCTACCTCTATAAACCTCTATGGGAGAAGCACAATTTCATAAATGCAAAAAAAAAAATTCCATTGGATATGCGATTGATATTCAACAGTTACAAGGTGCTGGTCAACCAGGTCACCTGGTCAACAACAGGTATACAGCACCATCTTGCAGAAGTGAAAAAACCCCTTTAACTTACGAACCTCTGTCAAGTATCAGCTGGATCCAACTGTCCCTTGAAAAGTTAAAGTTGAAAATTTCATTGAAATCTGAGACAGTTGAGTAAAGGTAATCGCCTCACTTGAGGTGGAATGATCCACCTCTAAGCACCTTTCATTCACCTCTAAATGGGCATTTCATGACTTAGGCAGGGGTGCTTATAAAAGCTGGCAAGCATTTCAGCACCTTGTAACTGTTATGCTTTCATCATCTTGACTGTGACCTCATGCAGCATCACCATTTTAAATTTAATACAATATGGCCATATCTTAACTCTTCACACAGTATATAGTCTTTTATGCTTTCTTGAAGATATTACTTAGGCAAGAGCTGAAAACCTGGGGGGATAAAACATATGATATATCCTGTCAAGGTATTCAACTTATCCTCAGTTACCCATGCAAACAAATCTATGATGTCTTGAAGATGAATGAATTTTCACATGTGAAAAGAATGTCCCAAAAATTGCCATTTTTATTGTTACTACTCTGACTTTGTTTTCATGGGCAACTGCTGTTGGTTCCTCCTAGCTCTATAGGTATCCAATCCATCAAAACAGAACTTGGACCGTAAACATCATCAGTGAAATTTACCTTGGCAGTGCAACTTTGGTATCAAGAGTCATGGAGTGTTAGTTTTCTTTCTCTGCATTGATCTGGTATGTAAATGAATAAAAAAAACTCAGCAAAGCAATGAAAGGAAGAAATGAAAGAAAAAGAGAGAGAGGCCAATGCAAGAAGGTAAGTACTGGGTGTCCATAAAGTAACTTTACATAACAATTTTTTTCTTGTCGCGAACTGAAATTTCACGCTGACAGTCTTAAAGAGGACTAAATTCTTTATTCCAGAACACTAATAATATTCATTTTTCTCCATCCTAGGTACATGAAAAACTAATATTTTGACAACTGCTGAAAATGCTTCAGTTGCATTATCTCAGTCAATACAATGCTACACAATATATGAATTACAATACACCAGACTTAATAAGAGAGGCCTGTGTATATACAGCAACAACTGAATTCACTTTGAGCAAAATAAATTACCCTTTGCACATCATACAGAACTAAAGACTGAATTTTTCCAGGCCCCTTAAATTTGGACAAAATATAAAGTTCAGCATCATTCCTTACTCTAGGGAGGGTCTTTCAATGGTCTGAATTTTATGCTGAAAAAATAAGTGGGGCACTACTGAACACACGAAGGTTAGACCTACTTATAAAATTAAAGTCCCATATTGGCCTAAAAGCGAACAACGTTGTATTTAAAAACCCAACAGTAGGGTCGATAGAAAAGTACGGAACCTATGTAACCATGATGGGCGGTGTAAGGAAATCCGTGGGCTCAGTGGAACTTGTATGACAATTACAGAACTACAGTTCGAACTGCTAAATAGCAGCCTAGACCTTATTCACTGGCCTGCTCGCCCCTCGAATTAGTTCATGTTGTAGGTCTAAAGCTAGGCTACCTCATTGCGCAGTCCCAGCAGGATCAGCATTGAAAGATAAGGGTCATTGGAACAGTCCCATCCCATAGGTCTCTTGCACATGGGGGCTGCCATGAACACAATCGGGATCTTCGACTATAGTCCACTAAGTCAACCGTGATTTCTTTATATTCTAGTTTTCCTTTCCAGTGAAATAACACTGGTTTTTGTATGGAAGTAGTGATTCGAATGATTCTGCAAGCTTAATTTGAGTCGGAGTTGTCCGGAGCTCAGGTCTAGTTACTCGATGTCTTGATAACGGTTTTGATGCCATGGAATAACCGAGAATTTCGGTAGCTCTAACATCTTGGATTAAGAATAGATTCAAGATTCAAGATAGTTAGTGTTATCAAGAGGCGATTTCGCCCATTTCGATATCACGTGTCGAGGTCGAGCGTTCCTTAATTTTAGGGTA